AATTAGAACCAAATCAACCCACAAATTATGGTTTGGTTTGATTTGGTTCGAAAAATAAAATGGTTTGGTTTGGTTTGAAAAAAATTCAAATTGCATGAAATTATTTGAGTTGAAAATATAGCACAAACCGCCCAAACTGAACCGTGTTCACCCCTACTCATAATTGGGAAAGTCATTTCACTAAAATGAAAATATGTAAAACGTGCAGGAAATAAATCGCATGTTAAATGTTCAAGATACCTAATAATAGATGGTGAATCAAAACTTACATAAATTTCAAGTTTTCATTGGGGACCCATTTTAATATGTTGTTGGGGGGGGGGGGGTGGATGGTGAAATGACTTGAACAGGACAACAAAAAACTTGCAGGTGAGAAATATTAGGTTCATGACCAAATGCAAGTTGCAAAGATGAATATTGATAATATTCAATTGGTCTGATACGAATCAATGACGCGGCATATAATATGATATGACCCCAAATAGAAGCTATGAGTTTTGTTTTCATAAGTAATTATCTAGACATAAGTTGCAGACGTTTAATAAATTACTCCGCTAAACCATTTTATGTATAGACATGCACAACCGAATGTTCAATAACAATCCAAATTGACATGCAATAATTATCGAATGCTTGTGATCTAAATTAACCAGCATTGTCAAGACGAATAGTCACATTTTGTGTATGGACATGCACAACCGAATGTTCAACAACAATCCCAATTGACATGCAATAATCATCGAATGCTTGTGATCTAAATTCACCAGCATTGTCACGACGAATAGTCTTGATTGAATAATCGAGGAATTTCCCTCGTAATTTTATGATTTAAGAAAGTAGTATAGCAAAAGATACATTCATAGTGGAAAGTAGGCAAACACGTGATTATCTAGTAGAAGAATCAATTAATACCATAAAAGAACGAAATCCTCCACAAGTGGGTGTATTTGGCCCACATATATCTCCAGGAATCATTTTCAAGAAAGTTGGAGATTCAATATGACTTTTGTAACCGAATGTTTAATGACTAACTTGCCTTATGAATAAGTTATACATGGATAATCACTAGGTAAAAAAATCTTCTTGTTCATTAAAGAATGTCAATGTGAGTTGTTTATTATTCGATGCATCATTATAACTTCTGAAAGTCCAAGTCGATCATGTCAAAATATATAAATTTTGGATCAACAAACTTCTGGTACGTGATAATATTTGATTCGACAATTTTTATAAATGTATAATCTATGCCAAATGGGAGTGCATGAAATTTTTCTTTTATTTGCTTTTGGCTAGATATAAAAGAAATTATGCAAAGATATTCAACATTATTTTCTTGCATCGTCTCAATGTGATATCCATTGCAGCATATATTTTTAAAACTAAGCAAATTTCTTCTGAATTTGCTAAAAATAAAGTGCATCATTTATATTATTTGGTAAAATAATACAAGTTCTTCCGCAGCTATCAACGATATTCGATGCACTTAATATCATATTAACATTATTTTCTACTAATGTTACGTTCAAAAAATATTCTCTGTCTTAAAAACAGTATGTATAGTTGCACTATCAATCAAGCAAGTATCTTGGCAATCTATCGCAAATCTATAAGAAAACAAATATATTTTTAAAAAACTTGAATTTAAATTTTAAAGAGTAAACATAATTCAATATTATGATATTAATGATGCATAATAAAGTTTTAATTTTTTGTTTGAGAATAGTATGAACATATTTTAGATTAAATTTTTAAAACGAATTCAATATTATGAAATTAGCGATGCATAATAAAATTTCAATTTTTTATTTCTTCGAAAAATAAGAACATATGTCAAATTGAATTTTTAAAACGAAAGAAAATATTAGAAAGTAAATTAATCTATGTATTCCATCACACCATCCCCAATCAAATGGTTAATATTTTCATTTGGATAATCAAAGAAGTTAGAGACATTCAAATGAGTCACATCAATTTGACCATCATAATTAGCAAAATTTGTCTCGACTTTTCCCTTTCCCTTGATTGATTTTTGGTAGAGATCCACAAGGTGTTTTTCTTTACGATAGGTAGGTGCCCAATGTCCTCAATATCCTTTCATTCCACATTTAAAACAACTTTTTTCATGCTCCTTTTTAAATGTGGTACTTTTGTGTTCTTTGTGCCTTTTGAAATTAATGTCTTGCTGCTAATAGTTTTATTGATTATTTCGTCCATGATTTATTCCACGTGCACGTCCGCTTTCATGGCCACGCCCATGTTCATGTCCATGTTCTTGTCTTGATATTGTATTTGTTTTAGGCAATGTAATACCATTTGCTTCAGGTAATGGCACAAAACCAGCTGGATGTAACCTATGATTTTTTATTAGCAGTTTATTATTTTGTCTAGCTATAAGCAGACAAGATATGAGTTCTGAGCACTCTTTGAAACCACGCTCACGATATTGCTGCTGTAGGAGCACATTTGAGGCGTGAAGGTAAAAAAAAAATAAAATTCCCAACATATCCTCATCAGAGATTTTTTCTTCCAACAAGGTCAATTTTAAACATTTTCTGAACATTCAGAATTATACCCACAAGCAGGCAAGATATAGTTCTGAATACCTTTTGAAACCATGCTCATGATATTGCTGTTGTAAGCACATTTGAGGCGTAAAAGATGGAAAAAAAAATTCAACATATCTTCATCAGTGTTTTTTGCCACACAAGGTCAATTTTAAACATATTCTGAACAATTCAGAATTGTACTCACTAACAGTTTTGAAATCTTGTAAACGAAGGTGCATCCACTCATTACGAGCTTTGGGGAGGATTATAGTCATTTGATGATCAAATCTTTTAGTTAATTTTTTCCAAAAAATCTGTGGATATTTCTCGTTGAGATATTCAATTTTCAATCCATCGTGAAAATGATGACGAAGGAAGATGAGTGTTTTTGCACGTTACTGCACGGATTCTTTGTTTCCCTTTTTATTGTCTCTTACAAACCTTTTGACACAAGATGAATATCAATATTGAGTACCCATAATAAATAGTTTTTGCCAGAAATGTCAAGTGCAGCAAACTCAAATTTTGTAATGTTTGTCATTTGATTTACACAATAAAGTAAGAGGAAATACAATTAGTTTCGAAAAATATAATTAAATATCAAGTAATTAATATCAACATGACATAAGTTACGCATTTTCCTTCAAGAATAAACACTAATTTAAAATAATATATTCTTCGAAATACGTGCTACTTCAGGAGCACGTTGCATTTTACTCTTACTTCTTCAAGAGCAATATATTAATATTCCTTTGGAATATTGAAAAATATAATTCACGCTCTTTATGAGCAAACAATATTTTTCGGACATATTAATGATAATGTTGTGCTATTTCAAAAACAACAATAAATTATTATTTAGAAACATAAGTTCTTCATGAGCCATGTATTATTTATAGAATTATCCTTTTTAGGGAGCAATAACAATTAATAATGAACTCGAGATTTGATGTTTTATTGCTAAACATAAAAAATAATGATGAAATATTAAATTTCGCATCACAATGATAATATTAATTAATCTATAAAAGCAACTGAATTTCAGTTAATTAATACGTGCGCAAACGCCAAATTTACAGACACGCAAATCAGCACAAAGATGGCGGATTGTGCAATAATATATGTATTAACGTGTACAAAGGAAAATCATTATAATGATTTGATTATGCATGAATTACAAGCAAAAGTGGGAACCGCGGGAATAAAATTATGCATAGTAATAGTTGGTAATCTGCTATGGGTTTCTGCAATTATTGGCGATGGCAATAGTGGTAAGTAAATTTAAATACACATAAATTATGTGTTATCTGCATAAAAAAAATCACATGTTACAAAATTAATTTTGGTACATATGATAGATGAATATGTTTAAAAAAATTACTACATTCTCTAAACTTTGAAGCATTAAGATTTCGTGCTGATAACGTGTTGTAAAAAAAAAAAAAAAGAGAAGAGAAGAGAGAATAAAAGTTAATAGATTTGTTTGTATTATAACGAGAACCAAAGCCCTATATTTATAAAATATGATTATGAATAAAATATTAATAATTTAAAGGGCTTTGAAAGTATAATTGTCATTCACTAATAAACTTAGTGTGTGTCTGGGCGAGCTGTCTTCCATGGTTAATCGATTATTTTACTGTTTGAGTTACTGCAAAATGGGGCCCACTGCACCAGAAAATCTGACATTAATAATGTGAATTACCAAAGAAGCCCATGTGTCATGAAACACGAATTAAATATTAATGGCAAAAAAGTCATTTTGTCTTCAATTGGTCAAATACTGCGGTTGGAAATCAGATTCACTTGGAAATTTTTGAAAAGCAACGGAACAAATATCACTTTGCAACGGTTGGAATTTCAATTTGAAGCGCACCTAGGCACACCCTTACTATTTAAAACGTAAATCATATACTCATAATTTAACAAGACGAGGCAAAATTATGTCACCTATCACAGGGGGCCAGCACATACAAGACCACGATGGCCATGTACTTGTATTTTTATTGACTTTTTAATTACACATTTCTTTAATTTTTATCAAAATCAAACAATGGCTAAATCATATACTCATAATTTAACATGAAGATAGCCCCTGTTTGAGCCACGTTATATTTTTCATTCTTATTTTTTTACTTATTTTCAATCACACATTATTCAATAAAATAATATTTTTCATTACATCAATAACTTTTCCTTCTTTTTCAACCACATATTCTCTATCACATCAACCAAAAAAGTGTACTATCTCCACAAAAATGCCTACCAAACAGAGTCTAAATTATTATAAACCCAAAATTTTGTATAACTAAAACTGTTTTGCACAAAACTTGACCGGACCAACGCTGTATGTACGACCCTAATAAAACTGTCTTACTATATACAAAAATTTGTACCCACAAAGCCAAACTTCATATATCAAACTGGAATAAACAAAATAGTCCCATGGCCTAATTACTCCTGGTTGTTACATTCCCCTTGCCAGCTCCAGACAATATCTTTTAGGGCAGGCCTCAAATCCTCCTCATATAATTTCTTGTACTCAAATGTGTCTCCGGCAGACTTTGAGAACTCCACCACCGCCACCTCTGGTGCCACCTCGAACACCTCGGCCGTGACAGACAATTTCCCTTTTCGCCCCTCTGAAACTCCTTGCATCTTCATCTTATAATCCTTGGCCATGACAATTCGAAAATTCAGCTTCTTGGCAAGTGATTCCAGCTTGCTCATAATCACTGAACCGGAACATTTCGATGTGAAAAGAGAACCCGATTTTTTCCTATTCTCGAATAGGCTTGACAAGTTGAATCCGGACGACATCGATGATATAAATTCAAATGCATTATAAAAAGGGGGGGATGATTTCTTACTCTCAGAATCATCATCCTTTTGCTCCGGAAAGTTTTCTTCCACTGGTTCTTGAATTGAAAAGGCAATAGGCCTAGTGAAACCCTTGCAGAACCAAGGGACTCTCATTATACCTTGAATTGAAATCCTCTGTTCAGGATCAGCCACCAGAAGTCTTGAAATCAATCTCTTGGCTTCATATGAAAACCATGGAGGAAACTCAAATTCTGCCTTGAAAACTTTTCTATACATATTCATCACATTTTCATCTTGAAATGGAAGAAACCTTGCTAAAAGTACATACAAAATCACTCCACATGACCAAATATCTGCTTTTGCACCATCATAACCTTTTTTCCTTAGAACTTCAGGAGCCACATAAGCTGGAGTCCCACACTGTGTATGCAAAAGTCCATCAGTTCTCAACTGCTCAGGCAAAGCAGATAAGCCAAAATCAGATACTTTTAAGTTCTCATTTTCATCAAGAAGAAGATTTTCAGGCTTCAAATCTCTATGTGAAATCCCACGGCTGTGACAAAAATCAACTGCACTTATCAGTTGCTGGAAATACTTTCTTGCAACATCTTCTTTAAGCTTCCCTTTCGCGACTTTTGCGAAAAGCTCACCACCCTTCACGTATTCCATTACAAAGAAGATTTTCTGCTTTGTTGCCATCACTTCTTTGAGTTCAATAACATTGGGGTGTCGAACTAATCGCATAACAGATATTTCCCTCTTTATTTGCTCCATCATGCATTCTTTTTTCACCTCATCTTTGTTGATCACTTTTATTGCAACACTTTCGGAGGTTTTGAGGTTCTTTCCATAGTAGACTTTGGCAAAAGTTCCTTGGCCTAATAACCTGCCCATCTCGTATTTCCCAAAAATTATGCTCCTGCTGGATCTATTTATGGGCTGCTGATCTTCTTGAACAGAATCCATGACAAATCAAGAAAATGGGAAGAAAGAATTTATATTCGATAATCTGTGAGTGATTGATCAATTCAGGATGGACTCAATTGTGTGAAACTGAAACATGTTTTTCGGCAATTTAGAAGAAAGGGTGACATTAGGTGCTAAATTGATGGATCTTGTAATGACTATGAATGATAAATCAACCGATCGAAGGTGTCACTCGAAGAGTCGCAGATTTTGGGATTTTGAGGTGAAGAGACAGGGCTAGAAAATGATGCAGCGGCCATGGTGGGATGGGGGGAGCGGGTGGGATGTCCACTTGTGATTGGAGCACACGGTTTTCTATTTGGCACATAGTAAGGAAGAAATATCAAAGATTCGAATATTGTGAAATTCCAATGGCATTTTGCTAAGTGCATCCTGGCCACTTAATGACATTATAACGGACACTCCATACCGTTATCAATTAAGTCCATGTTTGGTTGGAATTAAAATTTGATTTTAATTCAAGTTAAAGTCAAACAATCAATATTAATCATATCTTTTATGGGTTCCGCAACTTTTCAACCACACATTTTAAAAACTTCTATCACAGTCTACTAAAAATCTAATTTTAATCTCCACCAAACACCCCATAAGCAAATTACCCTTAAGATATTTTTACTCATTTAGTTAATTTTAATTTTTACGGGTTTTAAATGTAAAGATTGATTTATTTTCTTATAGAAAAAACTTGACGCACATAGAATTGTAATAATGAGAGAAGCGTAAAACTTTATAGTGAAACCTTTACATTTTCCATGTGGTCGATGCAAGAATAACGAGTTTACTCTCAATTTTATTTTGAAATCGCCTAAATACACTTCACTAATTCTAGTCGCTGCAAATAGCAGATAAAAGAAAGATGAATACAATAAGTCCAATCCATCGAATCTCTTAATTTTCAAAGGACGCAAGCTCGTTGACCACCTTATTCCCATCTTTCGGAGTATAACAATAGAGCTAAGAAACATCCTATATAACCTTTAACATTGCTACAATATTTTGTAAAATAGCTACAAAGATTATTCATTCAAATTGTATTTTCAGCGCCTTATTTAAAAGTTTACTTTGTTTGAGAAGAAACATATTTATTTTTATCAAATTTTGATCTTCGTCCATATCGTAATGAGACTTTTATCTCGTAACCTCCATGTAAAACTATCTCATTTTATTTTTTTTAAAAAATAAACAATCGTGTTTAACATATCAATAAATAAAAATCCAATGAACTTGGCCAATTTACTATTTAGCATAAGTAATTCTATTTTATCGTAAAGTATAAAGTAATCTGGAGGGCTAAATACTTCCAGACTAAATTGGTCCCCATTTTGGTGGGTTAGATCCGTGGAATTAAAAAATATTTTTATCTGCAAAAAAATAATAAAATATAATATACAATATTATCAGATGTAGTTAATCATATCATCATGTTATAGCAATAATATCACATCAATGATAATGTTGTACTTTATTAAAATGATACTAGGGATTTGTTTGAGATAACTTAAAAAATTGTTAAAACTTATGCCCAAAGTTAACAAATAATTTAATTACACATTTCATGATATAACTTTTATCAACTTTTCAATAACATATTTTATTAAATTTTATTATCTTATTTTCAACTTCACAACTTATTCCTGAAAAAAGAAAAAAACTCGACAACTTCTTTTCTTAATTCTTGATGAAGGCAAGATAATAATTCCATTTAATTTCGGGTTTGTTCATTTTTGGTGAATTGATAGTCTAATTAGATTGAAAACGGGCCAATAATCACAACTTTGGGCATTTGGCCCTGAAACACGTCAGATTTTGGACAGATTCCATTATTTAAGCTTTCAATTAAGCGTTTTTGTCATTTATGATAATTTTTGTTTTGGTAAAATCTTAGTCAAATAAATTAAGATTTGACTTTCGTTTGTTGGAGGATGATCCTGGTGATTAGGAGAATCAAGATCCGTCATTATCTCAAATTTTTCCCTTTTTGGAAAAAAATAATATTTTTTCATTATTATGTAATTTTTCCGAATTTTCTTAAGTTTTTCAACATTTAAACGTTGTAAACCTTTTGAGGAAACTCAATTTTGAATGGAATAAAGTTTTTCTTAAATTTCTCTTCGTTGAAATTCTTTTTGTGTGAATTTTTATTTTTCCTATAATCTTTCGCTGCATCAGTTGGTATCAAAGCCGAAATCGTTCCTTCACTATGCCCTCAAGGAGACGTCAAGAAGCTTGTGAAGTCCTAGTAGAGGAGATACATAGAAGTGATAAAATCACACGGCTGCGTCAACAAGTGGAGTTGTTGACACAGCAAGTTGCTGCACTTATGCCGCAGCAACATGCGCCTGGAGGTTGTGGTCCTCGTGGCAGGTTCCGATTGAGGAAGTCCAACACCATGATCGTAATATTCAGAGGCAAGTTGCAGAGTTAACCCAGCGCCTAACGGTGAACGATTTGGAGAATCGTGAGATCTCCGATCTCGATTCTTATTTCGCTGTTTTTGAACGTCCCTACCACCAACGTTATCTATCTGAGAAGGAAGAATTTGATTATGAAAGCTCGCCTGTATTGGACAATGAAGACATTGAAGAAGTAATAGAGGAGGAAGAGTTTGATTATGAATGTCCGCTTGTATCGACAATGAAGACACTGAAGAAGCAACAGAGGAAAAAGAGTTTGATTATTACGGTCCGCCTGTATTTGACAGTGAAGGTGTGGAAGAAGCAGCAAAGAAGGAGGAGTTTTTCGTTGGTGATGTGGGTCAGGTATTGGTGGTGGAGCGGAGTTTTCTGACTTCCTTGAAAAATAATATTGACTGGTTGCGTACTAATCTCTTCCAGTCGACATGTGCTATTGGGGAAAAGAAAAGTGTGATACTTCCAGATAAGTGCTCAGTAAAAATAGTTCGGGATGGCGCCAATTTACTGACCAGAGTGATGTTTGAGACAAATATGGAAAGATATGGGGTAGTGTATGTGCGGGTGGAATAGGGTTCGGCTATTGCTAGAGGAGTTTCATGAGACTTCCCAGAAGAGCTTCCAAATGGATTGCTCGCCAGAGCTTCCATTTCGTGGTGATAATTCTGATGATGATGAGATTTTTCCCTGTCAAATTCGAGGACGAATTTTTCTCAACCTGGGGAGAATGACGAAGGCGAGATAATAATTACATTTAATTTCGAATTTGTCCCCCTTTTTTGGTGAATTACTAGTCTAATTAGATTGAAAATGGGCCAATAATCACAACTTAGGGCCTTTGGCCCTGAAGTACGTTAGATTTTGGGCAGATTCCATCGTTTAGGCTTTCAATTAAGCGTTTTTGCCATTTATGGTAATTTTTGTTTTGGTAATATTTGAGTTAAATAAACTCGAATTTGATTTTCGTTTGTTGGGTGGGTGGGGGTCCGGTGATTAGGAGAATCAAAATCGGTCATTATTTTAATTTTTTTCATTTTTGGAAAAAATAATATTTTCTCATTATTATGTAATTTTTCCTAATTTTCTTAAGTTTTTCGATATTTAAATGTTGTAAGCCCTTAGAGGCAATCCAATTTTGAATGAAATAAAGTTTTTCTTGAATTTTCCTTCTTTGAAATTCTTTCTGTGTGGATTTTTGTCTTTCCTATAATCTTCTACTGCATCAATTCTTCTCTTTCTTAAAATATGCATATATAGTCGTGAACTCAATCTCATCCTTCATATTTTGGTATGCATATATCACATTTGGTACATGTTTTTCACGTTGTAGCAAAAAGTGGTTTAAGATAACTACTACTTGAAATGCTTGTTTTCGAGAAACGTCTAAAAGATAAATGTCTTCATGACATCATCAGACATTACCTTTTGAATAATCTTTTCATCGGTAAGTTTTTTCATTAATGCATCATTTCCACTTCGATAATTCAAAAGAAGTTTCACATGCATTAGCCTTCTACAATTTAATTTAGAAATGACTTGAGATAATTCTTGGATGCATTCATCTTTACCATGTTTTGTTTGAGAAGCCATGCCTTCAACTGAATGGATGTTGCCATGCCGTAAAAAAATTGCAATGGTTGTTGTCTTGACATCAATGGTCCAAGCCATATTAATAAAGTTGATAGCATTCAAAATGTTAATTTTTTTTTGAGATTTGTTGCTCATGCCTAGTATTATTCTTGAAAAAGTAAACCAGCCATCCATGATTTCTTATTAGCTCGATAATGACAACTTAGATTGCTCAAGTTCACATATTTAAAGCTCCAAAGAATTAATTTGTTTGAACCATCGCCATTGCAACAAACAACAATAGTTGAACCTTTGATAAGACTTAATTCCAAGTCTTTCCTTGAATTGATCTAGCCAACCAATTGACAAGTTGAACTCTAGATTCATTTCACCAAACACTTTCTGGAAAAAAAATCTCTGTCTTTGCTATGGATCATTTCTCCATTCATATTTGTTTTCTCCTAATTTTGGAGAAAGCACTCATACAATACTTTTTCTAACTCAGGATATTTTGCTGATTTCGGCCGCTTAAAATTTATACTTTTCATCACATCTGACAAGTATTCGCCTAATTTTTTGAGTGTGTTTGATATTGTTTTTTTTTTTTTTACCGATGCAGAGTCGAAACTTTCTTGAACCCATTATTGAAGTTCCTTTTGACTAGATGACGGATGCTCATTTTTGTACTCACACAATTCTCTTCTAACCTCAATAGTCAATATTGATTTTCCACCCCTTTCAAATGAGACGCGGTTTGATAAGTGCAAGAAGAATATGAAAATTAATATGATTTTAAGTCTAAGACTAATGCCGACGAGGATTGTATTTATACAAATGACGTTCAATGCATATGCATATGATTTTTTTATGGAATTAATTTTGGAAAACTTGATCTTCTAAGGATTTGTTCATTATTTTGTGTATGTCTTGATTCGATTTATATGTACTTAACTCTTGATATACTATGTGTTACGCCTCATCATCGAGGCTCCAGTCAAA